CTCTGTTACATTGCCAACTAAGGCAATGGAAAGCAAAAGTTGTAGTGCTTAGTAAAGGAATAGAAAAAACTAAACTTGTACCAACATTGAGTGTAATGACCCCAAGAGAATTTATTGAGCTTCTCCAGCAGGGGGCTGTAAGTACACAGAGAGAAGCTGCGAGCCTGCTGTCATCCTCGGCTCTACAGTTTATGCTTTAATGACCAAACACGAGGTGGTGCTTCAAGCATGGTGGCATAGGGACTACTTGTTGAACTACTGAAACTCGCTGGGTTGGAAGACGGTAGAGTTCAGCAACACAGCTGGTTGCTCTACACTGTGTTGTTTACTCTCTGGACCGTTTATAATTCCAAGGTTTGAAGATTAAATAAAGCCCTCCAAACAATCCAGCAATCCAACCCAAACTTGTAGCTCGGTTGATAACAGGAAATTTCACCGTTAATTCTGCATCTGCTTGTGTTATTGATTCCTGCCTCACAGCTGACCTCAACTCCTGTGTCCTACACGTGTATGAATACTTCTGCATCAGATCTACATTGTAACTTATGCAACAACCGAAACTTCATTTTAACCTTATGCCGAAATCTTCTAAATAACCTGCTGTGTACATCCAGAGAAATGTAACTAAACGTCAGGTTGATGCATACCACATAAGGCTGAGGTGTGGGGATAAAAGGAGTTTACTGTTACTATGTAGATTTCCCACAGAAGTATAAATCAAGTTTAATGTAGAGCAGTTAAGCTACAGGTGGTTCCTCCATCTTCAGATGCCAAACTTGACCAAAGTTTAACTTGATTCAGAAGCTTCTTCACAGATTCAGCTGCAAAATCGATTTATTTTGCTGTTGCAGATGCTGCTCTGACCGGATTGTGCATCCTCTTCGGACTTTATGATAAAGATTGGACAAATTCTGCACATTTCTGCATTTTATACATGCAACTTCAGCAACACTCAAACATCCAAATCTGCTGACACACAAGTGTTTTGTGCTCCATGCAGTTTAAATCCATGATTTTGGGTAAACAGCTAAAGGCGTTCATCTGTACTTGGAGTGTTTGCACATTGCTGTGTGTAAGAGACTTTGAGCAGATCTGCAGTCTAAGGCCGGATTAAGACAGAGAGACCTCATTCAGAGGCAAACAATGGACCATTGCTCCAGTCATAATAAGCATTTGGCCTGTGACACAGCACACAGGCCGAGGTCCTCAACTAAATCAGAGCTTCCCTCTGCGCTGAGGACAAGCTCACACTGGCTGCTTGGTGAAAAACCAAGAAGCTGGAGTAGAAAAACTCCCGCACAAGTTCAAATGTACAGGCTCGCTGACAAAGAGCAGCTCAGAGCAGGTTTGACTGTGAGGACAATCACAAGACCGGAGCAAAGAAATAATGAATGCAATTCAAAAACAGACATTTACTGGCCTCAGTCTTCAACATGATGAGATACATTTGACTCAGCAGGTCAACACAATGCTGTGTTACACAGTAGCATTACTAGTAACACACCACAGTGATATAATGCACTGTGAAAGCTTGAGCTTTATAACAATAATACTTAAGGAACTGTTGTGTTACACAAGTACTAAACAGCATGTGGATGGACATCATCTTCTTCAGAGTCCAGTGGAAGTGTGCATGTCTTATGTTTGATCAATGACATGTCAGAATCTCTTATAGACCCACTTTGAGTCTCTGGATTATTGCAATAGTCCCAGTGTAGTTGGATCTCTGGTCCCTGTAGCGATCGCTCATAAAAACCACAGATACATTCCTCTGATCCCTGGTGCCGGGTTAATCCATAAAGCCCAGGCCATGCCTCAGGACTTACCTCAGGACTTAACTAATCTGGTGAGTTATGTGTTTTCCATTTTCAGGACCAAACAAGTGATTGTTATATTTGTTAAATTCAGGAGTTGCAGTCAAATCCACCCTGTCCTTCTTCTCCTTCTTTCTTGAGTCACAATTGAATTTCAGTGATCTTTGTCTCTTTTCCGTTGCTGGTCAGAGTGTGGGTGTCGCTTGGGACAGCGGTCGCTGTGTCCTTAGTCTCCGTGTCACTGCGGGGCATGCTCTCAGGTCGAGAACCAGACCCTTTGCCTCCCTTGGTCAGGCTCTTCTGGAAGCTCTCCGAGGTGAAGTAGTACACCACAGGATCCAGGCAGCAGTTGAGACTGGCCAGACATAGAGTGATGGGGTAAAGTGTTCGGACAAAGCGCTCCACAGTGCAGTTAGCCAGGGCCTGGGTTCGCACCAGGGCATACAGGAAGAGGATAGAGTTGTACGGGACGAAGCAGATGATGAAGATGCCAAGATGGACAAGGATCATCCGCAGGACGCGTTTCTTACTGTCACAGCCGTGACCAGCAGTCACGGGGCGACGCAGCGTCCGCAGAACCAGCGAGGAGCATATTAAATTGGCCAAGAGCGGGAGGAGGAAACCAACAATCTGGAAAAAATAATAAAAACATTATGAAAATTACACCTTAATTCTACGTCTTGGTTATCGTAATAAAAAAACAAAGTCATCTGTATGTTGTGCGTCTCGATTCACCTCGATAAAAATGGTGATTTTAGACAGGTAGGTCTTCCAGGTGTTCTTGGAAAAGCCCTCGAAGCATGTGGTGGCTTTGTGTCGGCTGTTGATGGTAGAGAAGAAGGTCACCGAAATGCCTCCTCCCACGATGGTGAGCCACACGGCGGCGCACATCAGTGCCGCGTTCCTCCGCGTCCGGATGCCGCGTGAACGGAACGGATAGACTATCGCCAGGAAGCGGTCCACGCTGATGCAGGTGAGGAAGAGCATGCTGCCATAGATGTTAGTGATGAAGGCTGTTCCCGAAACCTTACACAGTCCATCTCCAAAAGGCCAGTTGCGGTTCACGTTGTAGAAGACCTTGAACGGCAACGTGAAAACAAACACTAAATCAGATAATGCTAAGTTGGTCATAAACATCGTGGTCTCGTTCTGCATCTTCATCCGGAAACAGAACACAAAGAGTGCGGCACAGTTGGTTATCAGGCCCGACACAAAGACCACGCTGTAAACCGCAGAGTACAAGTTGTACTTGAAGGAGTCGTCAATCCCACAGTCCACCATTCCGGTCTCGTTGATCACCAGGCTAGCCATGTTGAGAGCTCAGCCGCAGAGGGGGGGGCTCCAAAAAATATATAATAAAAGGGTGCACAACAGCTCAAAAGCTGTCGGGAAACGGGGGTGTTTTAGAGCGGAAATCTGGGGATCAAAGATGTCAGCAGGGGATCCACCAGTCAAGCCCCCTTGGAGTCATCGTCAGTCCTCCTGTGGAGAAAGAAGGAAAAAGCACTTAGTCACTTCCTCATTACAAAACCACTCTAGTTCTCCAGAAAATGTGGTACAACTGAACATGATGCAGATTTCATTTTAGGAATATGGCTGGTTGAAATGTATTACTCTGTGTTTCTACAACTGAATCTCAAGTGTACAATTCTGAAGAAACTACCAGATAGAGCCAAGTATTTAAAAGAAACAAGATACAAACAAAACTACATGGATTATCCATCCAAAACCATCTATATGTACGTATTGATACAGTCCTAAGATTTGGTCATGTTTGTATGTGACAGGATCGGGAATCATGGAGTCGCTCGTGATCAGGTATCACAATATTTTATATTTTAATTCTGAAAGGCATTTATCCATGAGACATGCCAAAAAGAAAATAGTAAACCTGAATCTTGAACTGCATGATTATTATATATTGTTATCTGGCACTAATACATTTGTAGCTGATCGAGTAGAGTTAGTAAGGTAGGTTGTGAATGTTTCTCTCTAGTTGCTGGTTGACTTTTCTCTGCTTCAGTCAGTTTAGGAGGAAAATAACCTTTTAGACACAAATAACTGTGACGTCTTGTTAAATTCACACCATTGGCTAGCTGATAACATAAAGACATCAATGCTGCTGAAGTGGAACCTCTGCAGAAATTCTTCTCCAGTGCTGTTAATGTCAACTGCAGGTCACAAGTTCAGCCTCTGCCTCCCTGCTGCAGTGCTGTGCGGAGTTGTTTCCACAGGAAGAGGTGAACACGGCACGGTTAGCGTAGTGTCAATAGTGTCAATCGGATGGTAAGTTTCAGTATCGATTAGCATCCGAGTATCAATTTCTCTCATAAATGTAACGCTAATAATGGGTCAATTCAATTAATTCACGGGATTTATATGTAATTATTTGCTATAACAGTTACAAAATTGGGATATACCATTTAAAAGTGCACATATACAGACTGGGAAACTTTACGCCCATAAAAAGGAGAATATTGAATGAATAACCACGCTACTTTTCATGAAATCTTGTATGCAATCCCAGTAATCTTTCATATCAAAGATAAGATAAAACAAAAACTGAGGGTGCAGACACATTATGTCAGTATGCTGTGAAACTGCTTCTATCTGAACAGATATTGGCCTTTCACAGCAGTGTCTAATCAGAGGAAGTGAAACAAAATTACTGAATATATAACTATTTCACCATTCTAGCTGCTTTCAGGACTGTGTGAGATAACATAGCTAGAGACTGGAATATGTACTGTAGTGGGATATCTACATATTTCCTTTAAATTCCATTTATGTCCATGAACCAGAGTCAAAGAGTGCAACGTAAAATGAATGTATGGCTGAACTCCAGCTGGAAGAAGTAAATAACCCAGCGTGGTGGAAAGAGCAGCTGAGAGCGGCTCCCACCATCACAGAGCACTGCTGTGGGGTGAAATACAATAGTTTTGTCAAACATTAACAATTACACTGATCTGATATTGTTCCAGACAATGTGTTCCCAAGTTGTTTACTCGATGCTAAATCTGAATGTGTGAGGTCAGAACAGGAAGTAGGCAGATGGAAATGTGTTGGAGAGTGGTAACTATCTTATCTCTGCCACATCCACAACAAATTCATTATTTGGATTGGGGTAATGATTTCCAGTGAATCACAGTGTTCGAGTGGAAGTAAGTTAGAGGAAAGAAGCATTTCCATGTAAAAGAACATGGGCATGAAATTGCTACACAAAATAAGAGTAACTTTCCTTACAAAGTATTACAAATGTGGCAAACTAAACAACGCTTTAGACTGAGAAAGAGGTGACGTCACCGAGCAGAACTACAAACCTTTAACTGCTGAGTGATTCAGTGCACGTTAACACATTATTTTAAGTTTCATAAGCAGTGCAGCTGTATGATGTTGGTTTCTAAGGTTTCTAAAGTCAGTTAAAAGCAAACCTCAGTGATGTCATCACACTTTGTGTCCAATTAAAAACGGAAAATTTGGCATTTTAAAGCGATTCCTGCATCCATCATTTTTCAAGCTTCACCTAAAACTCTAATTCTAACTTTCTTTTTTGGTCTTCCATGGAAATGTACCCATGCTTTCCCACCCAGTTAAATAACCCGACAAGAGCTAAATCTGGGTTATGCAATTACACTAAACAAGCAGTGAGGTGCTCTCAACAGACTCTCCAACGCACGTACAAAGTGATGAGAGTTCAGGCTGTGTTGACAAATAAAGTCGAACATATCAAATATGGATTTTCAAGTTCGATAGAGTAAAGCGTACACTAGTCCATCAGCACTGTCCTGTGCCTCCATCAGCCTTTACAATACCCCTACTGTACCCGTCTGCACCAGACGCACGCTTACATATGCACAAGGCTCCACATGTGAACGCACAAACAGGCAAACACTTTAAATGTGCCAGTCCTCCCTCTCTCTCTCCCACACAAACACACTAACACTATGCTTTTCTGTGTGCCGTGGCTCAGGCCCAGGACCCCTGACAGCGTCCCTGATTCACCGTCAGCTGTTGTTGCCTTTAAATGCAGCAGAGTCTATAGAACCGGGAATCTGGCAGCTGAACAGCTTGTTTAAAAGTCAGGAGAACTTCCAAGGTTTGAGCATGTTGTGGATTGCCAGTGGTCCAGCTGAGGGTTCTGAGCCTGGAGTGTGTGATTTCTCGCACAGGTCGTGGACAGCTGCATGGTTACGGGGTCTCCCCCCGTAGCAGCGACAGAAACAGGCCTCTGGAGACTCGCTGATACCAACAGATCGAGTTCAGAGCTCAGCACACATCCAGCTGTTCCTTTCTCTCACATGCTAGAAAGAATGAAAGCACACAGGGCTGAAGGTGTTGGACGAGGAGACGCACAGCGCGGTGTAATAAACGGACATCTTGACTACTTCACAACAGTACATGAAGTCCTCTGGGTGTTACTTAGATCAAAGCAGAAACAGTAAAAAAAAAGTCAATATTAGAACTTTTTTATTATTATTAATAAATGTGAACATTTGCTAGTTTTCTTCTTCTATGATCCCAATTCGAGTATTGATTGAGACCTGAGAAAATGTATTGGACCTGTTAATTATTTAACTATTTTATGATAATATATACACAAAATTATTAATCAAATGTTATTATGGTGCTGGACGTAGTGTAATTTAACCAGTCTGTTACATGCACAATAAATACACAAAAATCTACTCATACTATCCATACTGCAAAAAATCTGTAGTAATGAGCATTACAGACAGATGCTAATGGTATTTCTTTCAGCTGCATCACTCCATCCACAGCTTATAGGTTTTCTTTGTTAAAGCTGTTAGACATGTTGCTGGTTTCAGAAGCTTCAAACAACCAGAACCCGATAAAAAGGTGTTTTGTTTTTTTCTCCATTAGAGACAAAATCATCGGTTATCATCAGCTATAAAGGGAACTATTGCAGTTTAAAGACAAAGCAGAGCAAACTTACTGACAGCTGAATGGATGATGACAGCTCACCTCCCGGTCACTGATGTTTGTCGGTGCAGCGGCGCAGCTGTCAAAGGGGGCGAAAAAACCCTCCAGACCTTCTTTTATTTCCCAACTTAAAGGTTTTGCTGCTGCTCCGACTGCAAACTACTTTCCTTAGAGTCTCTCATGAGTTAAACTGTAACCCACCAGCGCAAACCACTGGTTTTTAAGCGAGCCGCAAATCCTGACGACTCGCTCCGTCCGTCCGCTACAAATGTGACCGCATCACAACCCGCCACGCCTGCTGTGCGCGTGCGGAGAGCCGCTCGCACGGTGACAGGAAACGAGACAATAGTACCTCGGCCAGTGAGAAGGAGAGGAGGGGAGGAGGGAGAGAGTGAATTGAGATTTGTGAAGAAGGAGAGGACAAGGAGAGAGGGCCACACAAGAGTGATCCATCACAAAAGTCTTTCTTTTTTATTTTGCTTGGATGAGATAAAGATGGAGAGATTTTATTGGTAGGATGTGCGGGTATAAACAGAAATGCACTAACAAAAAGTTTATATAACTTCATTGTTCAAGTCAATATTTGGTATGATCATCTATATTCTTCAGTACAGCTTCCTTTTAATTTGCTCAAGTAGTCTTCAGGAATAGTTTTCCAGGTTTGCCAGGGACATTCAAAGCTCATTTTTTGATGTTGGCTGCCTCTTGTTTTTTGCTCTCTGTCAATATTTTTAATTCAATTTTTTTTAATATAACTCCAAATAACAACAACAGTCACCTCATATTTATAGCCCCCTTTATATTGTAAGATGAGAACCCAACAATAATGCAGAGAAAACCACAACAACCATTAACTGGGTCTGGGTCCACATTTGCCTACTCGTTAGAGTTGGACAGATGGCACGGCAAGGTCGGATTCACCGGAAGGAAAAGTTGGAGGCTGGTACCCTAGAGATTGTTCAAAGGGCAAAAAACCAGTAGCAGAGGAGGTAAGTGAGTCATGTGCATACCCAACCCACACCAGTTGAGAGGACCAGGTGGAGGGGTTTGGGGGGGTTACACAGCAGAGAGCTGTTTTTAGTTCTTGGTTTAGCCTCTCTGATTGACCAACATGTTGGGAATGAAAACCTGAGCTGAACTCCGAGGCTCTGAGTGCTGAACATTAGGTCTTTCATGCCTGGGAGATGAACTGAGTTCCTGGGTTGCTGACTATTTCTGAGGGAATTACATGCTGCCTGAAAACATCATCAGTCAATAATTAGTTTCAAAACAGTGCAAGTTACAGTGCAGAATTATTTCTAAGGTAGCACCAATCTATGGTGAAGAAATGTCAAACGGTCTGAAATATTGTTGAAGATGCAGAAATTCATAAACATTCACTAGGAGTAAGTGCTGCCTCATAATAACATCGCAGTTATATTGAAGTAAAATTTTCAACCACAAGATAACTGCTGTAATAATGGAGATAGATATCCCATCTGCCACAGGATGAAAGGCGGGGTGCACCCTGGACTGTTCAATTGTCTGTCGCAGGGCTAACACAGAGAGACAAACAAGCACTCACATCCACACCTACGAGCAATTTAGAAACACCAGTTAACCTGATCACACTAACTGTTTGGGAGGAACCCAGAGTACCCAGAGAGAACCAACACAGGTTCAGGGAGAACATGCAAACTCCTCACATTCCCCAGCCTATCTATTTCTTTAGCAGGTCTGTTCCTGCACATCAATCTAGGATGGATTACAAGCCCATTTCAAAACAATCTGAAGTCTATCAGCGATCGTGGCTCAAAGAGTTGGCAGTTCGTCCTGTAACCGGAAGGTTGCCGGTTCAAGCCCCGGCTTGGACAGTCTCGGTCGTTGTGTCCTTGGGCAAGACACTTCACCTACGGCCTACTGGTGATGGCCAGAGGGGCCAATGGCGCGATATGGCAGCCTCGCTTCTGTCAGTCTGCCCCGGGGCAGCTGTGGCTACGATCTCCACCAGTGAGTGAATGAATAGTGGAATTGTAAAGCGCTTTGAGGGGTCTGAAAAGCGCAATATAAATGCAATCCATTATTATTATCATTCTACTGTGAGAAACATTAGTACATTAAGATGGAACGGCTTGTTTGCAAGGAAAAAGACTCTTCTCTAAAAGGAACATGGTTGCATCCATTAGGTTTGCTAAAATGCATCTGAACAAACCACAAGACATCTGGAAAAATGCTCTTTGGATAAACAAGACCAAAGTGGAGATGTTTGGCCATAATGCAAAGCATCGCTATTGGCAAAAACCAAACATAGCATATCAACACAAACACCTCATACCAACTGTCAAGCATGGTGGCAGAGGGGTGATGATTTGTGGTTGTTTTGCAGCTCTGTACCTTGGAGGCAAAGACCCCAGTCACCCATCACATGGACTCTTCACCCTCCTGCCCTCTGGGAGGCGCTACAGGAGCCTCCGGACTAAGACCACCAGGTACCGGAACAGCTTCTTCCCCACAGCTGTCAGACTCCTGAACTCTGCCTCCTGACATCTGACCCATGTTAACACATGGACTGGACATACACACACACACAACCACCTACACACACAATGGACAACTGTACCCTCATACACACAATAATTACATGGACTGAACCACCACTCACAACCATTAGCACTTTATGTAGCCTCTGTAGAAATTATCCACATATCTTACTTATCTTAACTATCTGTACAATACCATAATTTTTAAATCTACAACTGTTTATAACCTGCATAGTTCACATTTCTGTATAGCTGTATATCTCATATTTCTGTATAGTTTTTCATATTTATATCCTGTTCATAGCCTGTACATAGCTTGTACTCACTACAGCCTGTAGATACTTATAGTTATAGCATATTCATAGCATACTTCATACCGTGTACATTATAACATACCATAATAGACCCATTTCATATACTTACATATCTATATTATTGCTAATATATATTTGTAATATATCTATATCATGGCTAAAGCACTTCTGGATGGATGCAAACTGCATTTTGTTGCCCTGTACCTGTGCATGTGCAATGACAATAAAGTTAAATTCTATTCTATTCTATTTAGTCAACCACAAAGTATTCTAGGGTCAAATACGGGGCCATGTGTCCAACAGCTGAAGCTTGGCTGAATCTGGGTCACGTAAGTGGACGATGAGCCCAACAAATCAACAACAGAACGGCTGAAGAAGAAGAAAAAGAGTCCAAATGTTGCAACAGCCCAGTCAAAGTCCAGACATCGCCATGATTGAAATGCTGCGGTGGGACCTGAAGAGATCTGTGCATAAACAAACGACCGCAGACCTCGATGAACTGAAGTGTGCCAAAATTCCTCCACAACACTGTGAGAAAACTTCATGTTTTTATGCTAAAAGTGGTTCTACAAGCTGTTGAATCATGCAGCGTAATTCATTCTTCACACACTTCTTCTGCTTTACCGCAGCTAACTGTTAAATAACGATCTGAGGTAGTATTTAAATCATTTTGAGACCTGGATTTTAAAAATTATCTCCTGATATGTAAAACCTCAGATGTGACAGAGAGAGTACAGTCTTTTTCCCCCTATTATATACAGTATAAATACAGCACAATAAAAAAAAAATGGATGTGACATCTTCGGGGTGCCTGGCAACTTTACGGAGCCAAAACATAACAGTCAGCTCTGGTGAGTGGTACCTCAAAATAACAGCGTAGTGCTATTTTGGCTGATCAAAGTCCTGCTATTGTTAAAACACAGCCATAATCTGTTGCAAAAAGAGTTATTTTTAACCAGGTGACAGGGCGGTGTTGGCCAGGTTTTCATTGTGTTCAGGCTGGCATGGGGCGCTACAGTATGTGAGCATGTGTGTGCTTGTGTGTCCGTGTGAACAATGTGTTTTTGTGTGACAGAGACACAGAGAGTGAGGTGCTTGACAGAGGGGAAGTGGTCTTTAGGAGTAGCGTCTGGCAGGCTGACCGCTCCACAATAGCAGCAGGGAGGACAGGACATCCTGCTTAAAGCCTAAACTGAGCTGAGACGCACACACACACACAGACACACAATGCTTTGCACACCACCAGATGTCTTTAACCGTCTTAATTGCTGATGTTGAAGAACAAGCACTTAAAGAAATGTGAGTCACACCGTGTGATAAGAGCATATTTCCTGAATGGTGTTTCACGTCTTGACTACTGTAATTGAATCCAGATAGTGAGCCTAAACAAGCTACAGCTTCATGTAATCATCCAGAGGGTATCCCATTAATTTGGCAAGGCCTAATATAAGCCACAGTGGCATGTAAAACAGTGCAAACAATGCCATTTTCACATATATCCTTACAGTGACTTTCATCTGCCACCACCAAATCCACTTTAATTTATTCAGCCATCATCAGAGGGGCTGGATGCTAAAGCAGTATTAATAAAATTAAATGTGTAAATAATCAGAGTATTGGACCTACATTACCTCGACCTAGAGCCCCAAAACGTACCCCAATCACACAAACCCATATGCACTCCTCCCTCCTGCTTCTCTGTGTTTGGTAAGGGTAACTAAGCTGTGCGGCCCTGGCCAGGGCTTTGTGAGTCACACCAACCAGAACAAAGACCCCATTACTGCCACCACCGCCTCCTTCCCTCCCTCCCTGGCCTCTTCTTCTTGGACCCTTCTGTCCAACGCTCCTTTAATGCAATGATGAGTGTATTTCCTTTGCTTTTCTTCCCTTGCTTCTGCCCATCCTCTTATTCACGGGCTCCAGGAGGGTTTAGGGGTAGCCCCGTCATGCCGTACATGCCTCTCCCCTGACAACAAGGCTGGACAAAGGCAGCAAGGCAGTATAACACAGGAGTCTCGAGCTTTGTAGGCTCTTTTTGGACTGATGTTAACAGGAGTACAGTGGGCTTTACTCCTTTACTCCTGTGTGCATGTGTGACCTTAGTCCCTGAGACGGCATTAATCTCTGACCTGATTAGACACTCGATTGGGCAGAGCCCAGATCAATGCCGCTGGCTTTAACTGAGGCCTCCGAGAGCTACTACAGCTTGAGATCGAGGGGGAGTTGTTTACCCCACAGCACTGATAGGTGCAGCATGAGCAGCCATGGGTGAGTGCCTGTTTCTCCAGACTGAGAGGCGAGGCAGACAGGCTGACCAGACTGACCTCAACCTGTTCAGACTGAGCTGTTTGTCTTTGTGATATAATGGGCTGATGTTCCTCATTTCAAGGGAGTAAAAAGTCAGCTCTCAAAGACTGTATCAGCTCTTTTCCAAACATGGTCTTCTTGAAGGGGAAAATTGGCATTGCTCCAGGGGAT